GGGGGGGGGGCAATTTCTGGTCACATTTTCTGAAAGGGGACTTTTAAATAAATCCTTCTTTAAATCCGCCTACAAAGCAAGATGAGCAATGATCTGTGCCGGCCGGCGGAAGAGTCAGCGGTTTAACTCCTCACAGCTTCGCGGCAGCTCCTGGGCATCTCCGCCGGACACAGCGATCGCCTGCAAGAAATGACACACGACAGGTCAGTCAAAACGCACTCGGAGCCCAGGAACCTCCGCCAGGAAAAACGCAGAGCGACGCTCATGTGTCGGAATGTCTCAGGTCTTCGCGGCCAAAAGTTTTTATTTTCCCCATCCGTCAGCGCTGTGCTTTTGCGCCTCGTCACCGGAATCAGACGGAGAACCTTTAACGCCGCTTGTAAACCGCCTGATTTTTCATTGAAGCTGAAGTTACCGACCTTGGGGGGACCTCGAGGGAACCGAGACTGTGCCCAGGTCTGACAGTCTCCTGTCCACATTCCAGGGCTCAGGAATGTCCAGCACAAACAACGAGTCCGGTCGCATAAAATACGGAGATGCACGGCGAATGCACGTTAGACGACCTACACGAGAAGCTGAATTTTGTCAGAAAGAAAATAATGAATGGAGCACGCAGGCGCCCGCACTGCGAAAACGAAATTTTTCCCAAACGTGCCATATGGCTCCAACGCGAGCGCAATCAGAGTGCGAGTTACACTGCAATGTGATTGAATCGCGTTAAATAAACGACAGTCCCAGCCCACTTCCAACGGGACAGATCCTGCCATTTTTTTTGGGGGGGTGTAATTCGATCTTCTGCACAAAGGTTCATCGGCTCTCGTCGATGCATCTACACAGCCAGCACCGAGACTGGCGTGCACGCCCCCGTATTCCCAAATCGAAGCCTATCCGTGTCAGAGCGATGTGCGTTTAAAACACGACGGGTTTGAAGAAGAAAACATACCCTTTAGTTACATCCAGCCTCTGGATTCTTCGCTGTTCGATGTCGTTCGAGTCCGCCGGCGCTCTCGATCGAATAAGACCGTTTCAACGCTTCATGCAATTTTGCATCCAAGTGGTTTATTCCTTGGACAGACTTTTGAGTTGCAGCCAATTCAGTAGAATTATCATCCTCTCGTCTGCCCGTGCAGTTAATGCAGCGGTTTAAACCGTGTTTTTAATGATGTCCCGCTCTCGATTCGATACTCTAGCTAGGTTTTCATTCAATCTGCACGGTGCATTTTTAAAGATGTCTAGTTTCCCACTGCTAGCGTGGAGAGACCGTGTTTTTTTTTTCCCCTCTAGGGTCGCTCGCTAATTGAATTCCCTTCGACAAAACAGGACGAGTCGTCGTAAGCGCCCACTTTCTATGAAATGTTTTAGCGGCCGGCTAATACATTATCTGAACTGAACGGGGGGGGGCATTTAGGCTCTATCGGGAGATCCCTTTTCGCTCCATCTTGTCGTCGGCGACCCAGAGCATCAATCTTCTGCGGCAGCCATGTTTCTCGCTCTCTCCCCTGGGCAACGCCACCGAAACCAGGAAGACGCTCCGGAGCGGCCCATTCGGGGTGGGCGCCCTTCAAACAGCGCCTCTGGCGGCGGGGAGGGGGAGGACATGCGACTGCAGTTTCTCACGCCGTTCAGGTTGCTCAACCGCACCGCCTCGTCGTGCACGGAAAGCGTGCTTTCTCGTTGCAGCGGTGTGTTATTCAGCGACATTTGTGATAAAACGAAGCAAAAATGATTCCACGCACACGCCGGGAATACATTGCTTAAGCGCAAAGGCTGAAAGAGACACTGCACCTGGCGTAGAGGCTCCAGCATTGTAAAGAATCCAGGACAGGACTACAATTTTAAAATTTCCTCGCAATTTTTGAAGACCCCACTGCTCACTCGGCAGTGTTTGTTTTGCACAGTGAGCACAGACTTTGCTTGGGTGTTAGCCGTGGCTAACTTTGTTTTTCTGTTAAGTTCATTCTGGTGTTGAATGTTGTTTTAGACGCCGATATTTCTTTCGCTTGTATCCGTAAAATGCGTTTTCGTCTTTCTATGCCCCATTCACCCAACGTATGCCGTGCTCGTTTGACAAATTT